ACGTTTCCTATATAAGGAACCCAGCAAATTGCATCAAGTCACTGTCTAGTGTCAGTGACTTTAAAGCAATCCTCATACTAAGCAAGCATAAAGCGACAGTGGAGAGGAAAAGTCCCTTTTAACAGGAAGAAACCTCCAGAGAATCCTGGCTCAGTATAAGCAGCCATCTTCCACGACTCACTGGGGATCGAGAAGACAGAGCAGGCACACATACACACACACACACACACACACACACACACACACACACACACACACACACACACACACACACACACACACACACACACACACACACACACACAGACAAAGTAATGTGTCTATAGTTATATTGTGATTTCTTAGTAAATATTCTATTTGGTGAGAGATAAACTTTATTGTATTTATCCTAGTGGATCTATAATTAAACTGATAAACTAGTAGTAGCACATCCAACGTCAAGGAAAGCAAAAAGTTATTATCAGGAGAGGGAGAATGTTTAAGTGGTTAGCAGCAGTGTGCTAGACGATGGCCCCCTCCATGAGGCCACCACAGCTCAGCAGAACATCATTGTAGCTTCTTCTGGGGAGAATTTACCGACTGTACACTCCACCTCCCTCTACTCCCCCACTCGTCCAGATCTAGGCTAACATCAGATTTTAACCATAGGCCCTATCAAATAAAAATGTTTTAAGCCTAGTCTTAAAAGTAGACAAGGTGTCTGCTTCACGGACTAAGGCTGGGAGCTGGTTCCACAGGAGAGGAGCCTGATAACTAAAAGATCTGCCTCCCATCCTAATTTTAGATATCCTGGGAACCACCAGTAAACCTGCAGTCTGAGCGCGAAGTGCTCGGTTAGGAACGTATGGAACAATCAGATCACTGATGTATGATGGAGCTTGATTATTAAGAGCTTTATATGTGAGAAGAAGGATCTTAAAATCTATTCTGAACTCTAGCTGCAGCATTTTGGACAAGCTGAAGACTTTTAACTACATTCTGTGAATTTCCTGAGAGTAATGAATTACAGTCTTGATGTAATAAATGCATGAACTAGTTTTTCAGCATCACTCCTGGAAAGAATGCTTCTAATCTCAGCAATATTCCGAAGGTGGAAAAAGGAAATCCTACAAACCTGTTTAACCTGGGATTTGAATGACATGTCCTGGTCAAAGATAACACCAAGGTTCCTTACTTTGTTCTCAGAGATTAATGTAATGCCATTCAGGTCAGGTGATTGACTAAGCAATGACCTTTTCTGGATTTCTGGTCCAAAGATGAGAACTTCCGTCTTGTCTTGATTTAAAAGCAAAAAGTTTAGAGTAATCCAATTTTTTATGTCCTCAAGACACAGACTGTAATCTACCCAACTGATTAGCTTCATCAGGGTTAATGGATAAATATAACTGAGTATCGTCAGCATAACAGTGGAAATTTATCCCATGCTGTCTAATGATTTTACCAATTGGGAGCATATATATAGTAAAAAGAACTGGTCCAAGAACTGAACCCTGTGGTACTCCACAAGTAACCCTGGACTATGAAGACGATTTGCCATGTACATTTACAAAATTAAATCCGTCAGACAGGTAGGATTTAAACCAGCCTAGTGCTGTTCCTTTGATCCCTACAACATGTTCAAGTCTTTCTAAAAGAACATTGGGATCAACTGTGTCAAAGGCAGCACTGAGATCTAACAAGACTAGAACAGACACAAGATTCTTATCTGAGGCCATGAGAATATCATTTGTAAGTCTCACTAACGCAGTTTCAGTGCTGTGATACTCTCTAAAACCAGACTGAAATTCCTCAAACAGAGCATTAGTGTTTAAATGCTCACATACTTGGATGGCCACTATTTTCTCCAGGACTTTGGATAAAAATGGAAGGTTAGATATTGGTCTATCATTCATTGGGTCATCTGGATCCAGAGAAGGCTTCTTAAGTGAAGGTTTGATTACAGCAACCTTAAAATCCTGTGGTAAATATCCATTTACTAAGGATAGATTGATTATATCTAGAATGGGGGCAGTAACCAAAGGAAATGCTTCTTTAAATAATTTGGTTGGGATTGGATCCAAAATGCAAGTTGAAGGTTTAGATGACGCTAATACTTTTGATAAATCTGAAAGCTCAACTGGATCAAAACGGTTCAAGCACAGATGAGGTTCTACAGTCACCTCTGACGCTGCCTCACTTACTGAGGAAGAAGAAATCGCATTAGGGAGGATGCTAAAGATTTTGTTTCTAATAGATTTAATTTTACTTGTAAAAAATCCCATGAAGTCATTGCTGCTGAGGGCTAAGGAAATAGATGGCTCAGAGCTATGATTCTGTGTAAGTTTAGCAACTGTACTGAAAAGAAATTTAGGATTATGCTTATTCTCCTCAATTAATGCTGAGAAATAAGCAGTTCTAGTTTGTTTAAGCTTATTTTTATAAAGCACAAGACTATTTTTCCAGGATAGGTAGGCCTCCTCATGGTGCATAGAGCGCCATGTTCTCTCCAATTTCCTAGAGTTTTGTTTTAAGGCTCGTAAATGACAGTTAAACCAGGGAGCCAACTTCCTGTCCCTAATTACCTTCTTTTTTAAAGGGGCAACATCATCTAATGCCACACGTAAAGAGGAATTAACATGATGAACTAAGGCATCAATTTGTGAGGGGCTAGAACTGAACATATTGCCCTCTGCTACATGCCTCTGAGATGCTGAGGACAGTAAAGATGGAACAGTTGATTTAAAAGATGCAACTGTGTTGTCAGATAGAGACCGACTATAGTGAAATTTACTTTCATGTCTCGAGAACTCAGTTATAAAAAGCTCAAAGGTTATCAGAAAGTGGCCCGAGAGGACTGGATTATGTGGAAAGATAATTATTTCCTCACACTCTATGCCATAAGTCAGCACAAGGTCTAATGTATGATGGCAGGAGTGGGTGGAGCTATTTATTCTTTGAGTAAAACCAATTGAGTCTAAGATATTACTAAAGGCTACATTGAGAATATCATTTTCAATGTCCACATGAATATTAAAATCCCCCACTACAATGACCTTATCAGAATTAAGCACCAAATCAGATAAAAAATCAGAGATCTGATCCAAAAACTCAGAGTAAGGGCCTGGTGGACGATATAAAACTACAAACAAGAGTGGTTTTACAGTTTTGCAATCTGGATTAGGAAAACTAAGAATAAGATGTTCGAACGAACTGTAGCTATTAATTGGTAAGGGACTGATTAATAAGTCAGAATGAAAAATGGTTGCTACTCCTCCTCCTCGCCCTGTACTTCGAGCAATATGATGATTTAAATAATTTGAAGGAGTTGACTCATTTAAGCTAACATAGTACTCTTGCTGCAGCCAGGATTCTGTGAAAGAGAGCAAAGAGATCTGATTATCACAAATCAAGTCAATAACTAACAAAGTCTTAGAAAAAATGGATCTAATGTTCAACAACCGTCATTTAATTTTTCTAGTTTTCTGCTCAGCTGAATTTGTTCTAATATTTATGAGATTTCCATGATTTGCTTTATTAAGCCTGATATTTAATCTGTGTGATTTTGGCCGTGGGCAGGACACTGTCTCTATGGGGTAGTGGGTGGGTAACAGTACAGAAGCTGCAGAGGGGTGTGTTAAACTACGACTCTGCTTCCTGGTCTGGACCCTGGGTAGTCATGGAGGACTAATAAAACTGGCCATGTTCCTAGAAAGAAGAGCTGCTCCATCCAAAGAGGGATGGATGCCGTCTCTTCGCATCATACCAGGTTTTCCCCTAAAAGATGTCCAATTATCAATGTAGCCCACGTTGTTTTCAGGACACCACCTAGACAACCAGCGGTTGAAGGACAGCATGCGGCTAAACATGTCATCACTGGTCCGATCAGGCAGGGGGCCAGAGAAAATTACGGAGTCCGACATTGTTTTGGCAAACTTATACACTGAAGCAACATTAATTTTAGTGACCTCCGATTGGCGTAACTGGGTGTCGTTACCGCCAGCGTGAATAACAATCTTACTGTATTTACGCTTATCCTTAGCCAGCAGTTTCAGGTAAGATTTAATGTCGCCCGCTCTGGCCCCAGGTAAACATTTAACTATGGTTGCTGGAGTCTCTAATGCCACGTTTCTGACTATGGAGCTGCCAATGATCAGAGTCGGCTTGTCAGTGGGTGCGTCACTGAGCGGGGAAAATCTATTAGAAACGTGGACGGGTTGGTGGTGGCCCACGGGCTGGGTTCTATGCTTCCTGCGTACCGTCACCCAGCCGGCCTGAGGTCCTGGCTGCTCGGGTTCTGCTGGAGGATCGCAACGGGGTGGTTCTGAGCTAGTTAGCCCAGCGCTAGCTAAGTAGCTACGGCTGTTTATGGGTTTTTCAACAGCGCAGAGCCGGGACTCCAATTCCGACACCCTCGCCTCCAAAGCTACAAAAATGCTACATTTATGCTACATTTATTACACGTACCATTATCATTAAAGGAGGCAGAGGAGTAACTAAACATCTGCCACAGAGAGCAAGAGATAGGAGACGGAGAAGCAGAGACAGAAGTTGCCATAGCTGTGCTGAGGCTAAGCTAACTGGACGAGCAAACTGTTCAACACCAAATAAACTGCGTGCGAATGTGTGTTTTAGCATGCTTATGTGCTACAATAACTCAGAGATATCCTAGTACAGAGAAATTAAATCAGTTTTAGCAAGCCACAAACACCAAACAGCTACACGTAGTGCAACACTGAAAACAGGAAACAGGAAACGCCTTACCGCCAGGTGCAGCCCTGTTGTTTTGCACATTTGGAAAAGCAGATGGTTCTCTTTGGGGGTTTTGTGCAAAGATCTTCATAAACATTTGCTGAATGAACGATAGAACAATTATAACTTAAAAAGTCATGATTTGTTTACTTTAACAAAATATTGTATTGGGTGTCGATAATGAAGACTAAACACTTGGATTCCTGCCTGATTTATGCTTGTACACAATTATATGTATTGCAACACTGATGGGACACGTAACTGTTCATAGAATAATGTTGAAACCACCGTTCACAAACTTTATTGGAGATGGAATTGTTTCAAGATGGCAGAAAAACACTTTGCTTGAAATAGCTGTTAGCTCACCAGTCATTTAAGATATAAACACTTTTTCTCTAAACCAAGGCTGTTCCAGAAGCCATGGATGGTATTTTTGAGAATTATTTGTAACTTTTACACAGGAACACATTTAAAAATCGCTAAATCTTGTAACTTTTCTATAGTAAATCCTGATGTTGAACCACACTTAGCCGCCTAAAAGATGTCTTCTCTATATGTAATCTGACTATCTTGCACATTTCTGTACATAATCAGGAAGAAAGATTAAACATGCAAGCACCTTTTTCCCCCAAAACCTATTAATCTTATGATTACTTTTTTAATTATTTGTTTCTTCATGCTTCACACTCTGTTTGTTAGGTGCAACATTTATCACTTGGGCTTTATTTTACTCTAAAGCTGCAGGTTTGATAAATGCAATGTGTGCAAACAGCAGGAGTTCAGTCTCATTACAAGGAAATCTGTTAAAACATCCAAATGTTTTCTAAAGAGCTGCTTTTATAGCTGAGCGAGTTTTTGTTCTGATCATTTTTTCTGCTGAAAACCTCATCTGGAGAGGCTTCAAGAGTAAAATATCCCCCTGCAATTTTCCAGGGAAAGGAGGACAAGATCCAATCACTTCTATTTTTACCAGCTAATCTGGCAGATTGCCTTTATAACCTTCTCCGCAATACTTTCTGTCAGCTGAAATCCCACAAGACCTTAAAATAAACACATCTAGAGGTCACCGCTTGTTTTAGATTTCACCCAAAAGCTTTATTTCCCAACCCCTTTTATTCCATAAGTGTTTATGTTCAGCACCCACCTACTGACGACAGTAAAGCTTTCCACCTGCTTCTTTTTTAATGCAGTTAAAGGACTCAGTTTAAGAAAGAAAAAAAATTAAAGCTGCAAGCAGCGTCGTTCGGCCCTCGCAGCGAAGCTGCTTGCCCTCCGTCCACACCCCCTCCACTCCATCCCCGACGTTCTCCCAACGCATCGCCCTGCAACCTTTGGCGCACGAGCACCCATGTGCGTCAGACACCCCAGCGTGCATTTAACTGCGATCACTGTCAGCTGTCACCTCAATCTGACTCAACCTTTCCTCCTAGCCTGCCAGCAGTCCCCTAAAAATGTTTTACATTAGCAAAATATTCCAGCTTCGAAAGAACCTCTGTAACGTAATAGGAACAAAATGGCTGACTTCCTGTGGGATATGGAGAATGGGTCCATGAGACTTCATTGTAGGCCCAGGCACACTACATAAGTGTGCAAAATTTCACAATCCTCAGTCAAAGCTTAACTTGGGGCTGAGCGTTTTAATGGTGGTGGGGGCGCTATTTCAGAAAAAAGGCCATGCCCACCAGCTTATGACATCTATTTATATTGGGGGTCAGACTAGGATCACTCACCAGAAATCTTTTGGTGATATCGTGAGAATTGAGGAAATGAGAAGCAAACGTATTTCCATGGCGTGATGACGAATTTTGCCATGCTCCCAGGGCCCTGCCCTTTTTTTGAAACCTGCCAATACTAGACACCAAGTGACCCCAACTTTTGTACTGTTATTTGGCAGATGTTGCTGTTGAATAGATGAAAGGAGTCCAATAGGGAGCTCTGAAAGTATAAGCATGGTGTGGTGACAGGTCAATGTTTGAGGCTTAGCCACGCCCACACCGTTAAGAGTTTAGGTTCAGTTTTTCCTGCTTGGTCTTAAGAGTTTTAAGCAGAAGTATGAAGGCGATGGGGGCAAAGGGCGCTTGGGGATTGGCGTACCTTTGAAGTGTGCAAAAAACACAAAATGGTGTACTTGGACCAAAATGGCCAACTTCCTGTGGGATATGGAGCATGGCTCCAAGAGAGTTTTTTGTAGGTCCTAAGACATTACATGAGTTTTCCAAAGTTTCACAATCCTCAGTCAAAGCATGATTGGGGCTGACATTTTTATTGGACCTAGGGGGTGCTAGTGAAGAAACTCAGCCACGCCCACCAGATTTTCAGGGTAATATTTATTGAGGTTTGGATTTGTATCAAACAACCTCAATTGTTGGACCGATAGCATCAGAATTGAGGAAATGAGAGGCAAGCGTAATTCCATGGCGTGATGTCAAAATTCGCCATGCCGCCAAAGCCTTGCCCTTTTTTGAAACCTGCCAGTACTGCACACCAAGTGACCCCAACATGTCTACTGCTATTTGCCAGAGATTCATGTTGATTAGGTTAAAAAGAGTCAATTTGGGAGCAATGACAGTAAAGCATGGTGTGGTGACAGGTCAAAGTTTGAGGCCTAGCCACGCCCCCATCGTTAGACTTTTAGAAAATCCGTAGGTTCAGTTTTTCCCGCTTGGTCTTAAGAGTTTTCAGCAGAAGTATGAAGGCGATGGGGGCAAAGGGCGCTTGGGGATTGACATACCTTTGAAGTATGCAAAAAACACAAAATGGCATACTTGGACAAAAATTGCTGACTTCCTGTGGGATATTAAGCATGGCTTCAAGAGAGTTTTTTGTACGTCCTGAGACACTACATAAGTGTACAAAATTTCATAATACTCAGTCAAAGCATGGCTTGGGGCTGGCACTTTTAAGGGTGCTAGGGTGCGCTACTTCAAAAAATTGGCCACGCCTACCAACTTTTGATTTCAAGTATTATTGTGGATCATACTAGGATCACTCATCAGAAATTTTGTGGCGATAGCTTTAGAATTGACAAAATGAGAGGCAATCGTATGGCCATGGCATTACGCCTGACTTCGCCGCACCATCACAGCCGTGCTGTCTTTTGAAAGCTCTTGTAAAGTGAGGCCCAGCAACCCCAACTTGTTTTCAGTTATCTGCAACAAGTTTGTGGTGACTATACGAAATACCGAATTTTGGGAAATTTCACAGTAAAACTTGACCTTTTTTGTCCTGAGGGGGCGGGGCTTGTGTGACATCATCAATTGACCATTCATTTTTCTTCGGGGGCTGATAAGGAATGTCCACAAAAATTTTTTTTTAACTGTAATTCTTTCATTTATAAAATTATAGCCATTTGAATTTTTTGGGCGAGTGCTCGAACTTCGAGGCCTGGCCCCGCCCCGCCCCTTCAGTATTTACAAAAAGTAAAAAGTTTTTATTTTCTCATTTAAACTGTCCATCCCTTCTGATCGATCGCAAACTATTTTTGGACGATCGTGCGAAATATGACCAAACTGTTCAACCAAATACAGACCCTAAAAACGACCAAAACAAGGTCAAAATTGCTACTTCAGTCCAAAATGGCCGACTTCCTCTTTGATGTTGACCATGGGTGCAAGAGACTTTTCTGTGCATATTGTTGAGTTCAACAAATGTACCAAATTTCATCACTCTACTATAAAAAAGGTCAAAGCGGAGGGGTATTTTTCATTTTCAAGGGGGCGCCGTCGAGCTACTTTTTTAACAACCTTCGCATCGCTATTGAAATACGTACATTTCACACACTTTCTATATTGGGCCAGAATTTGGTGAGTTTTTGGATACGATAAGACCCCCCAAAAGCCATTTAAAGACACGGAGGAAAATAAATAAATAAATAAACAGAGCAGATACAATAGGCCTTCGAAGCTTCGCTGCTCTGGCCTAAAAAATCTCTTTGCTGTTTTGTAAATCTGTCACACTCCCTCTAAGTTTGTCCCCTGTCCCCCGCAGACATCTGCACGGTCTGGCAGTCAATTATATTCCCTCACCTTCAAAAAGGGCCTCGCTCCATCACCGTACGGGAGGCAGCAGAGCTCCGTATCTGTATCGGATCTTTATCCTTTTCTCAGCAGCATGAAGGGTGAAGCTGTCAGCTCAGGACTGCTGTTGAGCGGCGGAAACAGTCATGAAGTTCTCCAAGAACAATCTAATGTTTGATTAAGACTAATCAGTGAAATGGGATGCTGAACAGTCCCAGGAAATCTAATTTTAAGCAAGAACTGTTAAAGTTTAGGAGGAAATAATCGCTTTAGGAGATTTTCCTCTTTACTAACTTTTCTCCATAATTGGTTCTGCTTCTGTGGAATGCTGCGGAGTTTGTTGCACATTTGTCATCGACTTGACAACATTCGGACCACGAAAAGGACTCTGACTTTGTCAGTGGTCCCCCATCTTTCATTCAGTCACTTTTTTTTACTACAAATTCCTTTATCCAGCTACTGAGGCTGAAGTAGCCATCTGCTCCAGTCGTCCTGATGGATCTGGAGCTATGATCAGGGGGCCCCTGCTCAATGCTTCCTAGAATCTGCCTGTTCACCTACGGGTGTCGTGACTCATCATTATAGACAAGTTGGATCCAGCTTTATTTATTTGGACTCTTTTAAAACACTAAATTTTAAAGCCCAAAAAATAACAGATTGCATTTTTTTTTCCATTTAATAAAAATAGAATTTTTTGAGCTTTTTACCATGTGATATTGTTGTTTCCTTATGAGAAATACCCCTAAACCCTTTTTTGGCTTCATTCATACATTTTCCTGCCTCAGCTTCAATTTTTTTCTAATTAAACGTCAGATACAGGAGAAAGTCGCCCAGGTGTGTCATCAGGCATTTCTCCTCCCCACGCCCGCTCTCTGAGGCCCTGTCCACACGTAGCCGGGGATCTGCCAAAACGTAGATATTTTTCTACGTTTTGGCCTGTCATCCACACGAAAACGGAGTTTTTTCACACGAAAACGGATCTTTTTAAAAACTCCGGCCAAAGTGAAGATCTGCGTTTTCTCCGTTTTGGGTGTCTGCGTGTGAACCGGTGTGGACAGACAAAACCGGAGTTTTAAGGTTCGCAACGTCACTTTCCGCGAGAAAAAAATGCTGACATCACGTGTGCGACCTGCGTTTACACTAGCCGACAGCATGGATGCCCTCAGAGCTGCGCTGGCTTTATCAATTGTCCAAGCGCTTTTTGCTTGTTTGTTGTTGCAAGCGGAATTACGGCTCCTTGTGGAAGACCACAGACGAAGGACGAGGTTAAGAACGGGGGAAGTACTGCCGCCTACAGGTCTGGCATGTCCTTAACAACGTATTTATCCGGGTACGTGTGGACAGAGTTTTTTTTTTTAACGAGGTGGTGTGGATGCAAGTTTTTGGAGGGGCAGATATTCGTTTTTTTTTTTTAAAAAACTGGCTACGTGTGGACTAGGCCTTAGAGTTGCAGGAGATTTCCTGCCACAATTGAGAATGTCACTCTTCATGTCAAAGATTGCATTGCAATAAAAACTATGCGTCCTGTCCACAAAGATGCACATTATGACCAGCACAGGATACGTGTGTTAGGTGACTATTGTCAGGGGCAGCAGTATCTCAGGAGGTAGAGCAGGTTGGAATAATGATTCACTGTGTAGTGTAAAGTGCTTTGGAGTCCTCTGACTCAGAAAGGCACTATACAAGTGTGAGTCATTAATCATTTATCATTGTTTTATAACAGACTTGGTGGTTCAGTGGTTAGTTACTGACTGGTATGCTGTTTTACAACAGTTGGCTAACCCTTTAAACTGTTTGAAACATAAGGACTAGTCTTTTTTGTTGTTGTTGTTTATTAATCAATGTGAGTCCATGTGAGGTGAGCTGAGTAAATCAACTAAAATGCCAAATTCAAAGATCTTTAGACACACAAATATTTTTGCAGAAAATAATCAATAAAACAAAAAAATATAAAAAAAAATAAATCTGCATCAGCTGGCTAAATAAATGATTGCCGACACCAGGAGTCAAACCGGCGTCGGCTCATGGCAAAACAAGATGAAAGGCAGTCGATTGACCACTGGACTACAACAGCAGACTCATCTAAGATGCTGTTGATGCGTTTTGTAGGCACGGCGTGGGCGGAGCTTCAATGAAACAGACCATTTGATTTCTGGGTATTAATTCAAGCTGACAAAATTAACTAATGTTTACATCTCGATAGTGCTGACATTAACATTTTATCATATATTGTGCCTTTGCGCTCAAAGATTTCAATTAACACGATCTGGCTCCTTTGCAAGTTTACTAACCCTGTTATGAACCTCTGAATTACTAGAACAAATGCTAAAAGGGAGTTGATGAAAGTCTATTGAAAAACAAGATAGAGTATAAATGAAATTGTTTGAACTCAACATAAAGTCAGAGTGAGGCTGCAGGGAGAACCACCCAGCAGGATGCTGAACCATTCTACTAATGTTTCATCGTATGCTTTAATTACCCCAGGGCTACGTGGGCAAATAGTCTCTTTTTTCTAAATGTGATACCAAGGTAGCATCTGGTTTGGACAAATCCTTAAAAAAACACTCAACACCTTTATTCCTTATTTTCCCACCAGAGCGCGTCTTTAACGAACGTATGAAGTGAGTCATTCTGAAGGTTTCTGCCCTGTTACAGTTCTACCTGTTTGTGGAATTACCAGAGCCCATGATTTCCTCTGGCTGTGTGCCTGCAGATCAATCCCTGTCATTCCTTTTGGAGTTATCCACGTTAATCCCATCTGCCAGCTGGCAGCTGCCTCCAAGCACTCGCTTCTTCAGGAGGTCCAGTTTGTCACCGGCTAGAGCTTCTCTCAGTGAGTGAAAGAAGCTCTGATAGTGGCTTGTGTTGTGAATCATGAGCAGCACTCCAGCCAGCAGCTCATTGGTCACTAGCAGGTGGTGCACATACGCCCTCTGGTGGTTCTTACAGCAGTAGCAGCCACACCCCTCCACCAAGGGCCTGAAGTCATCCTGATACCTGGACGCAAGTTCAAGAAAAGTTTGACTTCATGAACAGTCACTGTAAATATAAATCACACACATGAAAGTGAAGATTGTGCTAGCGTGGCTGCTTCTGAAAGCCACCATGGGGTCTCTGCAGATCCTGCTACAAACCTTTTGTCTCTGAGATTCATTTCAAAGCATGTCATTTGTGTTTGATCATCACAATTAAGATCTCCATTCGGCTGCGTCTCCCCCGCGGTGTGCTGCTCTTCATCCAGATCTGCCAAAACAGACGTGCACCTCATTAATTCCAACACAAACCATTCAACCCGTAATCTCATCCTCTGACAGGAAACAAGTCCCGGTAGACAGAAGCAGCAGCCAAAAAAATCAAACACCAATTATACCTTAACCCTCCGTAATCCCCGCTGCGCTTCTCATTTTCTTCCCCACTAAAATATAAATGCTTACTTGCAACGCTGAGAATACTAACATCTGTTTTACACAGATGGGTGTTCCCTCCTAACTGGGTCTATTTAATAAGCACAATAGAAAGAAGAGCTGCAGGAAGAGAAAAAACAACGGAGAATGAGATTTACAACAGAGCAGGAGACAACTTGGATTATACACAGAGATTAGAAAGCAACAGAGGTGTAAAATAGGTTTAGTGGATGAAGTGAAGCAGTGAGCAGCAAACTTCATACAAAGCAGAAAAAAGATTCTGCTATGGGGTTTGTACACCGACTGTGTAAAGCTGGAGAGGCGATAAGCAGAAGGAAACAGGATCAAATGAGGCCAGAGACACAAAATGCAAATCAGGGAGATGTACCTGCTGGAGATAAGTTCTGCTTTACAAAGACAGGAAATAGGAACAACATAAACATGACCAAAAAGAATAATGAAGCCTAAAAAAACAGACTCACATTGCATGCTATTTGTGTTGTTGTTGCTAGCTGATATAGATACGTTTTAGTGCCTATTTGTGCAAAATAAATAAAAAATGTTATTTTAAAAATGCGCCACCGCTAGAAAGAATATTTTGGATTATTTTAATCAGCTAAGAGAATTGATTCACCTTGAAGAAAAAACATGAATCTCATTCATCAAAACCATTAGTCTGGACTGCAGGTGTGTTTTCACATATCAGAATAAATACATAAACTGACATTAATTTCACGAGGTGTGTGTTCTGATAACTGACATGCATAATAAACCACGAGGTGAAACCAAACCAAAACAAGCTGCCTCCTTTGAGGCCTGATATATCAGGTATTCACGAGCCCAATACACTGTAATAAATAAAATGTTGAATTTACTTAACCAACTTATGTCAGCTGGTTCCACTAAATGTAGTTGGTTAAATGTAACGAATCATGAACATTTACTTTTTACATAACAGTGTATAACAAGCAGTACTGTATATTACTCTTTAATTTAAGGTACTAGGTTTAGTGGAACCAGTTGGCATAACTTAATTAGGTAAATTCAACATTTTATTTCTTACAGTGTATTTGATTTGAACTGTTTAGTGATTGTTAAGCCAGAAGGCAGAAGACATATAAAGAGATCCATATGGCAGTTTTCTGATGAAACTACTCATCTTGTTAAGAGCAGGGTATCTGCAGGTTTAAGGGAGCCAAATTTAAGACTTTTTAAGACCTTTTTTAAGGCCACTTTGACCAAATTGAAGCTATTTTTAAAATTTTTATTTCTGCTATAATTTCCAGCTATTGCCTGGAACCGGTGCTAACCATGTCGCGAACGTGGGATTAACCATCCATTTACCATTAAACTTGCACTTCTCCATGGCGCAAGCTCCCACTAGCTTAACCAGCTACTGTGCTCATCTAAAAATTGCCCCCTTTCACAACCAACTGAATGTGTACGGTTCTGCATACGCCAACATCACACACAAAAAATGCTGAACACTAACTAGAAATTCACGAACATATCATAGAAATAAAATAATCTAGTTTATTGGGTCTTTGGTAATTTAAGACCTTTGGAAACAGTATTTAAGGATTATTTGTCACTTTTAAGGATTTTCAAGGCCTTAAATTTGGAAAAGTAAATTTAAGACTTTTTAAGACTTTTTAAGGACCCGCGGATACCCTGTAAGAGGTAGAAGTCTTAGAAGTCAACTATGAAATGTTTGGAACTAGAGATGCACGATTTATCAAAATCAATATCGGCTGGTGTTAGTCATATTTTGACATACTGTGTCAGTCTGTCAAGTAAAGATGTACGACCAATGTTTATTTTTGTTTTGTCGCAGTTCAGTTGTGTGGGGTTGCTTGGGCATGTGACAGCCCCCGTATTTTGATTATCAAGGTTTCACTTTCCAACAGCAGAAGGCTCGTTCTCTATCTACTGTCTTTGCTTCCTAGCAGAAATGTTTTTTCCTGTTTTATTTGGATTTCAACACTCACTAAAGGGAGCAAGACCCATTTGTTCCCTAGATGTTCTCTAAACATTTGACAAGCAGAAAACTAACTCAGCATACCAGATGGTTTGTTATACGGAACCATCTGGGAAGTCCTCAACAGAATCTGTTTGCTTAGTAGAAATGTATACATGTTGACATAAAAGTCTAAATATATCACTATATAATCAAACTTTAACCAATCAGACCAATGAGGCATTCAGTCGAAATGTTCATAAGGAACGCCATTTGTGTTTGGCCACAAATGATCATCGTGGAGCCAGTTGGGATGGATTTTCTCAGGAATTTGGCAAAGCAGGAGTGTGAGCACCGAGCAGACGTTTGCATTAAACAGCATCTCATTAAAGCTCATTAAAAACCCAGCTTTTTAAATCTAACAACCAATAAAGTCACAGGATACTGTCGTTTAATGTTTGCTCATTAGTGATAAACAATGCATAGAAGGGGCGGAGCTAACGGAGCCAGGTCCTGAATACCTAAATGGAAATTGGTAATTCCTTCTTTTAATCTAATTACTGAGAACTGACTTTGTAATTAATATAAGCAAATATCTATAACTCTGCACACATTTCAGAAAATTTAAAAACCAAGTTCACTCGTCTTTTCAATAGGGAGCCTATGTCACTTCCGCATCATGGGTCCCCGGAAGAACAAAAAAATGAATGCAAGTCAACGGGGCTAAAAATGCTATTTTCTAATTCCACTTGTTTTGTGCCATGGATTTCACGTATGATGTCCGTAAATTTTAACGACGCATTTTGATACCAAGAACGCACTTATTTTCAAACGGGGGGAATGATATTTTAGGTTTTGTGTGAAAATAAGTCCAGGACTACAAATGCGCTTCAAGAAAGTGACGTCATCGAACCAGACACTGAGAAAACTGAGGGAAAAGGGCTGTAAATTCAGCAAACTTCCCACAAGAGGAAAGAACCACCATAAATCTGGTCATTTGGTAAGTAGCAGCTACTTTGAGGAGAGGAGATTATGTGGTGATGTCACATACCGTAAATCCTCTAATACACGCGGGTCTCCAATTTTGGCCGGTGTCGGAGTCAGCGGAGGTAAATAATGGCCGGTCTCTTATTGTGGCCGGGTGGAATGTGGTGACAAGCAAGTATGAGCGTCCCAGCGGCAGGGTTATAGTCCCCAAATCAACCAGCAGGAGGCAGTAGAGGTTCACGCGGACCTTTATTTGGCTTTTTCTTCAATGCTTTGTACCGCTACAGACACAAACCTCTATCACGCTCCTACCACACAGAGTCACGGTGTCAGTTAACCATGCTAATTCAACCCCTCCACAGAACACACATCACCTTCCCTGTGGCTTACATAACACTCACACAACACGCAAATCAGCACATAGGAACTAGCAGAACGATAGGAAACACATATAACACAATACCCAGAATGCACCTGGCTTACAACCCCAGCCAGGTCATTACACTATCAAGTTCAAAGAGAACGTGCTGTTTATGCTGCAGAACACTCTGGAGAGCAGCAGTAGGGGGTGTATGAACTAGTCAACTTCACTATACAGTACAGTAATCCCTCGCTACTTCGCGGTTCGTTCATCGCGGATTCGCTGCTTCGCGGATTTTTTCTTTGGAGCATTTTTCAGGGGGAATTCGCAGATTCGCGGTATTTTTCACTGATTCGCGGTATTTTTCTATGCGAAATATCAAGAAATTCTTGTTTTTTTCATCAATTTCATCATAAAATGCACTTTTTGTAAAAAAACTAAAAAAAAAAACAAGTAAAAAAAATTTTTTTTTGAGTTTTACCCACAAATAGAGAATGTGATCATACGATAATTCAATAGGGAGCGTGGTTTCACAGACGTGGAAGTGATAGCGTCGGTGAAACGCCGGCTGATCTAGGAAACCCCCGAGCGTTCGAGCGTCTACGAAGTGACACGGAAATGCCGGGCTTTCCAGAAGTAAGTAAGATAACGTTGGTTATGTATTGTAACCCCAGATTCTATGAGTCTAGTCGCAGCCCTTAAGCTAGCTGCTATTGGAAGGATGATCTCCGCATCAGCCAATCATGAAGAGCTTAAATGTACGCCCACCAATAGTGGGCCCCCTCGTGGTATATAACCGCAGTGACCCCACTGCTCACCTCCAATGGCTCTTATTCCCATCATAACCAGTGGGGCCAGTGGCTTAAGGGCTGCGACTAGACTCATAGAATCTGGGGTTACAATACGTAACCAACGTTCTATTTCGTCTAGTCTTAGCCCTTAAGCTAGCTGCTATTGGAATAAGGCGCAGCTGGATGGGTTTACGCCCCACTGGTTAACACAACCAATGGACACACCCAATCAAATCTCCTCTAGTGGGGGACGTTCAGTCTCAGACCAGGCCTAAAGACTGAGGCAGGCACGATAAGAGAGGGGCCCCCACTAAAAAACATCATCCACAAGAGGATAAAATCCATCTCAGCAAGGCCAATGAGGTGCCATAAGCATTCATTTAGCCTGCTGGGGTCCAAGCACTGAACGAGTGATGGAACCTGAAGACACATCTCGTAAATAATAACGAGTAAAGGAACAGGGTGAAGCCCATGAAGCAGCCTGACAAATGTCTTCCATTGACACACCACTGAGGAGCGACATCGAAGAGGAAATCCCTCTGGCCGAGTGAGCCCTGAGTGCCTCAGGGGGATCCCGCCCTGATGATGTATAAGCGAGGGAAATGGCGTCACACAGCCAGTGTGAAAGGCGCTGGGCCGACAGCGCCTGACCAAGGGAAGACTCCCTGTAGTGCACAAACAGGTTTTGTGAGCGACGAATCCCTGAAGTGTGTGACACATATCGTGCAAGCGCGCGCACCGGG